ACCTAGCAGCTCACAGCCCTCGAGGGAAGGGGCCCCTGGGAGGAACAGGGCAGGACTGTGGGGCTCACCCACCTAGCTGACCCCGGTGTGGGCGCCTCCAGGGGCGTGTGGAATGTGCCCTACATATCCCAGGCCTATGTGATCCGCGGGGAGACCCTGAGGACGGAGCTGCCCCAGAGGGAGGTGTTCTCGGGCAGTGACACTGACCCAGACATGGCCTTCTGCAAGAGCTTGCGGGATAAGGTGAGTGGGCCTGGGGCTCGAGGCGGGGCAAGGCCCTTGCTCCCTGTCACCCTTCTCACACCCTCCCCCCACGCCAGGGCATCTTTCTCCACCTCAGCAATCAGCACGAATTTGGGCGCCTCCTGGCCACTTCCCGGTATGACACAGACCACCTGCACCCTGACCTCTGGCAGATCTTCGACAACCCCCTGGTGAGTAGGCGGCCCCTCGCTCAGAAGGTAGTTTCCCCTCCTTCACTAAAGGAGGATGCCCCAGACCTACCGCACGCTCATGCGCGCTGTGCAGGCTCTCCTGTTGCCTGGGGAGGGGGCTTCCTGGGTGGGAGCAGATGGAATGAAGAGGGCCCGGGTCAAGGTGCACCTCCCCCCATCCCCCAGGACTGGAAGGAGCAGTATATTCACGAGAACTACAGCCGGGCCCTGGAAGGGGAAGGACTCGTGGAACAGGTGAGCCCCACTCAGGACCCCGACCCATCGCATGGCCATCACCCCCTGGGTCCACCGCCTGGATTAGTGGTGCCTCAGGGTTTTCTGCTCAGGCATTGAGGGCAAAGGCAGAGCAGATAGGCCTGCAGCCCCCATCCTGGCATTAATCAGGGTGGTCCTCTCTTGTCTGTTGGGTATATTGGTGTATGGGTGAAATGATACTTTTTAAGATGAGTTTGAAAACCACTATCCCAGAACCCGGGGCTCCAGGACCCCCGTGCCATTTGCGCCATGTTTTCAGCACTGCTCCCACCTTCTCTGGCCCATCCCCACACTCAGATCCCCATTCCTGCAGATTCTCTCATCTCCTGGCTTCCCTTTCTGCTCCCTGCTTTCCCTCCCTTCCTTTGGCTGCCTGTCCGCTCCCCGAGCATGACCCAGCCCTGCTGTTCTCGCCCTGTCCCGCCCGTCTGCAGCCCTGCCCGGACGTGTACTGGTTCCCTCTGCTGTCTGAGCAAATGTGCGATGAGCTGGTGGAAGAAACGGAGCATTACGGCCAGTGGTCAGGAGGCCGGCATGAGGTGAGGGGCTGCGGCAGGGGGGAGGGGTCCCCAGGAGGAGGGAGGTGAAACTTCCCTGATTGAGGGAAAATGGAATCCAGAGAGTGGGAGCAAAGAGGGGTCCCCAAGGGGGAGGGGCCCACAGGAGGCACAGCTGTATTCTCTCACTCATCCATTCGTTCAAGAAATGTTTACGGGGTGGGTCCCAGACGCCAGCCCTGACCTGGGTCTGCCCTCCTGGGTCTGACCTGCTGCCAGCAGCAGCAGCAACCCAGCTTCTAAAGGCTGTGATGGGCAGCCGGGTCTCAGGAGGGACCCTTGACCCAGACGTGGGGGGACCGAGGGGCTTCACAGAGAGGTGACATCTTAGCTGACACTTAGAGGACAGGAGGAGTGAGTCAAGCTAAGAAGTGGTCGAGACTTCCAGCCGGAGGGAATACAGGCTTTAAGGCCTGGGAGCAAGAGGAGGGGGAGGCTGGCACTGCCCTGTCGGCTCAGTGCCCGCTGTGCACAGGACTCAAGGCTGGCTGGAGGCTACGAGAACGTGCCCACCGTGGACATCCACATGAAGCAGGTGGGCTATGAGGACCAGTGGCTGCACCTGCTGAGGACGTACGTGGGGCCCATGACCGAGAGCCTGTTCCCCGGCTACCACACCAAGGTGGGCCGCTGCACTCGCCACCCCTGCACCTCCACCTTCCCACACCCCGTCCCGGTTGGAGGTCTCCACATGATGCCTTTTTGGCCCCCGTGGTGTTTGGGGCCCCATAAAATGAGATCCTACAGGAGGGCAGCCCTGGGGGAGGCAGCCCGCAGGTACCAGTGAGAACCCCTCCCCTTCCCCGGACCTGATGGCCATCCCTCCAGCCTCTCCTCCCGTGTCCCTGTCACAGACCCGGGCGGTGATGAACTTTGTGGTCCGCTACCGACCAGATGAGCAGCCCTCTCTGCGGCCACATCACGACTCATCCACCTTCACCCTCAATGTCGCCCTCAACCACAAGGGCCTGGATTATGAGGTGAGTCCCTACTGCCCTCCACTTCAGGGCGCCCCCAGGGCCCCTCCCCACACGCAGGACCCTGTGTCCCGCCCCCTTACCATCCCTACACACACCCCTCGGTCACCTCCCTCCCCCTTGTCTGCCTTCTTTATGTTTCTCAGTGACTTCGTGGGTATCCTCTCCTGGACCCCTTCCGGGCTGGCAGCCTCACCCTTTCTCCTGGGTCTCCCATCTGCTGATGCCCAGACCTCCTGTGTCCTCCCTCCCTGACTCCCCCGGTCGGGCTCTCCCCGCTCTGTCAGCCCGCCGCCCAGTCCCCACTTCTGCTCACTCTGCACTCCTGCCCCTTCTCGTCTTCCCAGGGAGGTGGCTGCCGCTTCCTGCGCTACGACTGCGTGGTGTCGTCCCCCCGGAAGGGCTGGGGGCTCCTGCACCCTGGCCGCCTCACCCACTACCACGAGGGGCTGCCCACCACTCGGGGCACTCGCTACATCATGGTGTCCTTTGTGGACCCCTGACGCTCCACCACTGCCCAAGCTTCCCTGCCATTGTGCCTTCCTGTGCCGCCCTCCTCGGAGGGGGTCTGTCCAGCTCCTCGCCTCCTGGGTGTATGTTCCGTGTGCCTGGGACTGAATGTGTCACCTCGCTCCCCACCACGCGGCCCTCAGGAAGCTCAGGGAGCCCCCTTGCTCCACCCCTCAGCCCCCAAGAGTTCCCAGGGAGAGGGCTTCTGGGTGTTCACCACGTGATAAATTATTGTTTTTCAGTCTCCCTCTCAATAAAAGAGGATTTGTAATTCTTGAGTCCATTTATTCTTTCATCTACCTGTGGACGCCGTATCCCTCCCGCCACCCAGTGTAGAGGGGAGACCCGGGGTTTTCCAGAGGAAAAGAACAGAGAAAAAGAAAAGACAGAAACATGATTTTAGAGCAGAGTGGGAGCCTGGAAGCTTCCCTGGCTCCCACGTCTAACTCCCTGTCATTGCCAGAGCTGGGGGAGGACGTGAGGAGGGCCAGACCGAAAGAAGGACTTCCCTTGTTGGGCTGAGGTGAGAACCCCCCATCCCCACCCCTGCAAAGCCCCCAAGCTCTCCTCCCTGATTCTCTCCTCACCTGATGGCATCTTCTCCAGTGCATGACATGTGGGGTGGCACAGCCGTAAGCTGAGCTCCAGGGACATTGCTGGGGAAGTAAGTCCCCCTGGGGGCATGTGTTCTTTGAGGGAAGACAGGCTGGAACCTTACTGTGGCTTCTTGCATCTAAGCTGTTAGGTGGAATCAGGAGAGGGGAATCCTAAGGGTCAGCCCAGGAAAGCTTCCTGGAAGAGGGGTGATGGGAAGCAGCCTTGCAAAAGACAAGACTGGGACTTTTTTTTTTTTTACCGGGACTTCTAGTGGTCCAGTGGTTAGGACTCCTGGCTTGCACTGCAGGGACCATGGGTTCCATCCCTGGTGAGGGAACTAAGATCCCACAAGGCAAGGTGCAGCCAAAAAAACCCAAAAACAAGTGACGTTCCCTGACCTGGAAAAAGTGCTGGCTCTGCAGGCCTCTGGTCAATGTTAAACAGGGCCACGGTCACAGTGAGGACTGGCCCCAGCCCACTGGAGGATATGCCCACAGACCAGCGGGCTCTCTCTTGGAGGGGTTCCCCAATCCTTAGCCTCTCCCATAAAACCCTTCCCTCTGAAGGTCTCCCCACAGAGGCCTAAGCTACTCCTTAGGGAATATATCCTCCTGCAGGTCACCTACCGTTTAGGCGCCAGGTCCGGGTGACAAATGGGGAGCTCTGCTCTTCAGGGTACACACACATGGCAACCCCTGCTGGCCCAGACCTCTCCCAACCCTGCTCCTCACAGGGAGCCGGTCCTGACTTCCACAAAGTTAAACACCTTCCTCACCCCGAGGCTCCAAGCCACAGCCCTGGTCTTTCCTTTCGGTCCTACTGGTCACAGCCCTGTGAGCCCAAATAGTGGTTAACCCTTCCATGCCGGGGTTCACAATGCTCCAATGTGCAGGTCAGCAGCGGGGGCGGAAGCGAGGGCAGAATCCAGGCCAGGGGTCAGGACCAGTGGATTGGGTCAAAGAAGGTATGCTTCACTGCCGTGGTGGCTCCTGGGTGACTCCCCTCTGCATTCTCCTCCAGCTGCCTCTTCCAGGGCCTCCAAGTGTTTGCCGTCCTGCAATGGGTCTTCCCCTTTTGGGGGGCTCACTGAGTCCCTGAAGACCTGAGGAACCCTGCGCCTGGCACTCTGCTTCCCCATTCCAGTACGGGAGGGAGGGAGGCAGGGCAGGGGTCTGTGGGGTGGAGAGAGGGAGAAAGATGTAGATTGGACAGATGCGCCTGAAACCATGGAACAGGGAAGGGGGAAAACAGGGGACCTGGGACTCGAACCTCTGGATCCTGAGTCCCCACAACCCCCACGCACCGCCACCACCTCCCGCCCAGGTGTGCCTGGGACTCGAACCTCTGGATCCTGAGTCCCCACAACCCCCCACGCACCGCCACCACCTCCCACCCAGGTGTGCCTGGCTGCCTTGCTCCTGTATTCCTGGGCCGGGCCTGGATCCTAGCGGTCCTCGACCTGGTCTGACTCCGTGGAGATAGAAACACACCTGGGGCAGGGGGCCGCTGCTCTGCCTGGGTCTGCAACTGGGCCATCCGGAGACATATCCGTGACCGCCTCCCCATCTCGGCGAGGCGCTCGGGAACGGTGCGCTGGCTGGGAGCAGGGCTTCAGAATGGACTCTCGGGACCTTCACCCCCGAAGTCCAATGTCAGCTCCCCAGTGGGGTGTCCCCCCGCTGGTTAAAAGCACAGATCCGGATCCCTCCTGGAACTACCTGTTTGGCTTCCACCCTCACGGGGTCCTGGTCAGCGGGGCCTGCAGCAACGTCTGCACAGAGGCCACTGGCTTCTCCCACCTCTTCCCTCACCTCCAGCCCCACCTGCTCACGCTGCCCTGTTGGTTCCAGCTCCCTGTCTTCCGGGACTACATCATGTGTGCTGGTGAGGAGAGTGCTGGGTCTCAGGAGCCCCAGTCCCTGCTGTCACCTCCTAACTGCCCTCCTCCTCCCGCATGCGGGCACTTGGTCCCACCTCTACTTACTTTCCCAGAGCCCTGCGCCCTCTTTTCTGGAAGAATCAGGCGTCAGGTCCCCCGGCCACCGCCCTCTCTCGCAGGATCAGTGCCCTCGGACAAGGCCAGCGCCTCCTATCTCTTGTCCCTGCCCGGGGGCCTCCTGGCCGTGGGAGGGCCCCTGGAGGCGTGGGAGGCAAAGCCCGGAGCGCTGAGCTTGCGAATCCGGAATCAGAAGAGATTTGTCAAGTTGGCGCTGGAAGAGGACAGCGCTGCCCGGGAGGGAGCGCAGCGCGCGCCGGGCGGGGTCCGGAGTCAGTTGCTCCCCCAGGGCCTCCCTGGTGCCAGTCTTCTCTTTCGGGGAGAACTAGCTCATCCAGCAGTTTCCGAACCCGCCGGGCTCATGGGTGCGAAGGACACAGGAAGCGCTGCAGCCACTGCTGAGAGTGGCCCTGCCGCTGTTCCACGGCCCCCGGGGCCTCCTCCTGCCCTTCCGCACGCCCATCCACACCGTCGGCGAGCCCCGGCCTCTACCCGCTCCGCTATCCGGCCCGCCCGCCTGCTTCTCCCCGGCTGAAGGCCCCTGCACCCTCCCCGCGCCGGAGGTGAAGGTCCCCCCGGTTGGGGCGTGAAATCCTGGATTCCGGCCACGCCTCCAGGCTGCCTTTGGCAAACGCGCCAGCCCTGAACTCTGTCCCAGTTAATCGCGGCGAGCGAGAAGGTGACCTGCGGGCGGCTGCTAGCGACCATCCCTCTGGCCTCCTGTTCCGCCCACAGTGGGGGCCCCGATCCCGGCGCAGCGAACCCCGCGGCCCAGCCGGGCGCAGGTGGACGCGCAGCACGAGGTCTACTTGGAGCGGCTCAAGCAGCTGTTGAAAGAGCACATGGCGCGCTCTGGCGTCCCCGCCGACAGGCACCCCCCCCCACCTAGACGCGCCGCCGGCCCCCACCGGTGCCCTCGGTGACAGCGGGTGGGGACTGAAATTAAAGGTGGGTACAGACCTGCGGTGTGTGTGTGTTTGTACTTGGCGGGGCAAGGCCGCGCGCCTGGCCGGGCCTCGGAGGGGACTAGACACTCCCGGAGACCCGCAAACACACCCGGGGCGCGCGTCCAGGATCTGCCGGCCGCACTCGAGATCAAAGAGTCTCGGCTGGGACCCAGTCGGTGGGCTCTCCGGCTTCTTCTGCGACCGCTCCCCACAACGATTCCTAATGCACGCGGGGGTGGACCTCCAACGCACGGCCCCTAACCCGGCTCCCAGCCCCGCCCAGCGACCAGCCCAGACCTACCGTCTGGAGTTCAAAGATCAGTGTGTGAAGACCTGTGGCGCTCCGGATCCCAAGGTCTCCCCATCCACACAGCCCTCTACAAGCAACCCCGGGAGGCCCCAGGGACGTGGCCACTCAGACGAGAGAGGCTTCCCCGGCTCGTACCGAAATCTTCATCGTTTGTCCTCCGGGTCCTGGAGCCCTGCTGGCAGAACGGGAGCGAATGGGAGTCTCCACAGCCCCGCCGCCCTCCCGCAGTATGAAAACCCTGAAGAAGCGGCGGCTAGAAGTACTGAGCGCCTGCTATACTGAGCGCCTGCTATACTGAGCGCCTACTATACTGAGCGCCTACTGCTACGTGCGCACTTTCCTCTTCACGGGTGAGTGGTGCCCGGGGTCCACTGGGGAAGGAGGCAAGGGGGAGGGTGGGGGGAGAAAGGCTGGAGCCCCACCTGCCAGGATGTCCGAGGGTCAAGGGAAGGGGGAGGGGCCAGAGGTCCAGCGGGGAGATGGCCAGTGATCTCATTGGTGAGGGTGGAGGGGAGGAGCCACGGGAGTTTCAAAAGCTATAGTTCATTTTTCTTTCCCATGTTTCCCCCAGGCCCCTTCTGTTCCCTTCTCTTCCTCCTCTTCACGTCGCTCTGGTATTTCTCTGTTCTCTACTTGGTGTGGGTCTTCCTGGACCGGGACACACACCCCGCCCCCCAGGTGAGCACTAAACAAGGACCCGAGTAGTGAGAGGTGATAAATGGTGCCTCCAGGAACTCTCCCACCCTCATCTGTCTGCCCAAGGAGGAAGGCGTTCTGAGTGGATGAGGAACTGGACTGTTTGGAAGCACCTAAGGGATTATTTTCCCATTAAGGCAACAGGCCACCCTCCAAGGAGATGCTCTGGTTCCTCCCTTTCCCCTATGTACCCCCCCTACTCACCCCTCCCTATGCTGGAGTCTGAGCCCCCCAGCTGCCTAAGTTCAGGCAATGGGGGAGGGGTGGGATGGTGTACCAGAGGGGGCCCCTTGTGCCCTTGACCCCATCGTAGGACCTTGAACTCTAACCCTAAGTTAAGTCTGTTGGTGTGGAGGGAATTCTGTTCAGCTGGTATCCTGCTGTCTATGCTTTCTTCCCCTCATCCTGCCCACTGCCCCCAAAGCTGGTGAAAACGGTAGAGCTGCCCCCTGACCGGAACTACCTGCTGGTCGCTCACCCACATGGGATCATGGCCATGGGAATCCTCTGTAACTTCTCCACTGAGAGCTCCAGCTTCTCCCAGCAGTTCCCCAGGCTTCGGCCCTCGACGGCCATGCTGAATGGCCTCTTCCATTTCCCAGTCTACCGAGGCTACCTTCTATCCTTTGATGAGTCTTGAGCTAAGGGGAGGAGGCAGCCACCCCCCACAGTGGCCCCCACCCACCATTCAGCCCAGGGACCTGGCTTGAACATTGGCCAGGCTCACAGTGGGTGTCAGTGAATGGCTTTGGAGCAAGCGTCCTGCATCCTTGCTGGGAGAGGTGCTGTAGGCCACACTGACATGGGCACAGGGGTAGGGGAGCTTGGAAGGAAAGGGATGGGGGGCTCACCCTTCCTAGGCTAAGGGGTGGGGTAAGGGACTAGGGAGCCAAGGACGGGGTAGTGACTGTTCCCACACCTCCTCGTGCCTGCGGGAGGATGTTCCGTGAACCGCCAGAGCCTGGATTTTATTCTGTCACAGCCTCACGTCGGGCAGGCTGTGGTCATCCTGGTTAGGGGGCCCACGAGTCCCTGTATGCCATCCCAGGAGAGCACTGCCTCACTGTCCAGAATCGGAAAGGCTTTGTCCACCTGGCACTGAGGCGTGTGTGAGTGGGTGCCCAGGGGTGCTGCCCTGAATGCTCAGAAGTCACAGTGCATCTGGGGGTCTACACTGTCTGTCCCTACACACCCGCACCCCTGTAGGTGGGCCTGTGTGTCCCCAGAGCTTACACTGTGACCGCACCTAGAGGGCGCTCTTGCCCCTTGAGTGTTTCCTCTGTGCCAAGCACCGGTGCCAGTTCCCCAGGCTTCCTCCCAGGCGGAGAGAGACAGGATCACAGCGCAAGTCACAGGACCCCGGGGCTCAGACGCCCTTGGTTCAAATTCTTTTATGACACCCTCTCAAAGGCAAATGCTTGCACGCTTCCTTACTTGTGAAATAGGGTTAATACCTACCTGGCCACCATGTTGCAGTTGTAGACTGTATGAGAAGATGTATATAGGAAGGCCCAGTACACAGTCTTTCCTCAAGAAATGTAAATCCCTCTTTCAGATCTCTTTTGTAGCCACTGTCATTTGCTTCAAATGGCCTTGGGAAGTGGAATCATGCGAGGGAGGAATTTGGGGCACTCCTTGAGACACTGATCTGACCACCCGTCTTCTCTCTTGCCGCCCCTTCCCAGCACTTCTCTGGTGCCCACGTACTCCTTTGGGGAGAATGATATCTTCAGAGTTAAGGCTTTTGCCCCAGACTTGTGGCAGCATCTGTGCTAGAAGATGCTGGGCTTCAAGAAGCTCCTGGGCTTTTCTCCTTGCATCTTCTGGGGCTGTGGTCTCTTCTCAGCCAACTCCTGGGGCCTGGGGCCCTTCTCCAGGCCCATGACCACTGTGGGTGAGTGTGCCCGTCTCCAGGGGAGAAGGCTGCCATCAGCTTCGTAAGAAGCATGTCACCTGTGTCTCCCCTCTCCCCTCAGTGGGCTGCCCCATCCCGGTGCCCCAGTGTCTCGGGCCCACCGAGGAACAGGTTGACCACTCTCACATGCTCTACGTGAAGGCTCTGGAGCAGCTGTTTGACGAGCACAAGGAAAGCTGCAGTGTCCCAGCTTCCACTCGCCCCACCTTCATCTAGCCCCGGCCTTACCCCTGCCCCCACACTCACCAGCCCCACCAGCCCCCGATCCCAGTGCCCTGAGACCCCCACCTACTGCCATGCTACTGCACCAATAAAAGGTAGTTCTCTCACACCACTACTTCATAGGATCGGATGCCCACCATCGGATTCTCAGCTCCACCAGCAACTGACCGTAGCCTTATCCAAGTCACTTAAGCTTTTCAAACCTCAGTTTCCTCGTTATAACACGGGGCTACCTACTTCAGAGTTGCAGGGTTTCTAATTTTTATTGAAATACAACACAGAGAAGTGCACAGATCACAAGGGCACGGCTTGATTTTTCATCCACTGAACATACACGGGGTTGTCCTGGGAAGTGAATGAGATTACTCAGGCTCATGGGACGGCTGCACTGGCGTCCTTGTGTATGGATTGAGGAGAACTGTCAGCCATCGTCCTCCCGCCCATCTCTACCCTTGGATTTCTCTGCTGGGTGGGTGCCCACTCACCCAGGATGGAGCCAGGAGGAAACATCTGGAAGCCTTTTCAGAGAAAGAAGAGAGCGGTCAGCACTTGGATGGGCTGGGCTGGGGACGAGCCTTTTGAATGGGTAAAGGAGTCGACCCAGCAGGCTGGAGGAGGTTAGGGTCCGTTAGAGCATCATTACAGCTGTTTCGGAAGCTCCAGCCCCAGACAGTGAGAATTCCACTGGGTCAGACTTCAGCCCTGCGCCCGGGGCTATCTCCACTCACCTGCCACCCATGCAGACCCTAATGTGGGCTCTTCTACAGACCTATTTCTGGTCATTCTTCCAGAGCTCCAGCCCCAGTGGGTCCTCCCCTACTGCTAGTCCTTGCAGCCCTGAAAAGCCAACCCATCTGTAGACAAAACATAGCATCTGCGTATCCGAGGAGCTTAATATCCTGCACTGCCCACTGCCACCAGACGTTATCATTCCCCGGTAACATGCTAGGGATGCCATAATCACCCTCACCGCCTTCCTCTCTCCCCACCTTCCAGAACCCCAGTCACACTTCCTGGCCTCCTGTCTTCTTCTAAGTGCTTCTTAGCTGCTTCTCTTACTCTAGGCCCCCCATCCCTCCCGTGGACTTCCTCTGGGACCACTCCTCAGGGAGGAGGGGTCTTGCCTCTCATCTCCCATCTAACACCTTCTCACGCTGGCAAGATGCTCTCCCTAAAGCACTGTTTTCATCATGTCCTTCGTCCTGTTCACTGGGACCGGGTCCTCATTGTCAGAAGGCGTGAACTCCTCAGTACGGCATTTGAGGCACCCCACAGACAGAGCCCCACCCTGCAGACACACGGGGCGCCAGACACACAAAAGTGCTGTCTGCTTTTGCCTGGGGGCTGCATCCACCGAGACGTGGACTTTGTGCAAATTAGACAAAGAATGTTCCAGGTTGGGCGGTGACAGACATTTGCTATGGGATCTTCTCTTTGGGGAAGTGCCGGTGCCACGTGCACAGAGAAAAGATGGATCACTAAACTGCCTAAAGGATCTATTGTAGTTTCAAGAGCTCTGGACTCCACAGTACAGAGGCGTCAAGGTTACCTGTCCCATTTCTCCTGCCGTGTATCTGGATAATAACCCCCAACACTGTGTGGTTTCTCCTCCTATCTGGAAGAATCTAACTTACAAATATATGAATATATGCCTTAGGAGCATAGCTCATTGCCTCCTGGCAGGCCTTCTTCCTTCCCTGCCATTGTCCATGTGGCCACCAGAGGGCAACCTCTACTCACAAGGCCAATCTGTCACTCTCCTGTTTAAAGCCCTCCCCTGGCTGGCCAGCCCCTACCTACAGGATGGGTGCAACCCAGAATTGCTTGTTCTTGCAAAGCTGGCTGTTTCTCAGCTTTGGACTTTGCTCAGGCTTCTCCTTGCGCAGGAGGGACCCTGCCCTTCTTTGTCACCCGGAGGGGATTTTTTTTTTCTTGCCTCACCCCGTGGCATGTGGGATCTTAATTCCCAGACCAGGGATCGAAGCAGCTCCCCGGTCCCGGCATTGGAAACGCGGAGTTTTAACCACTGGACCGCCAGGAAAGTCCCCAGAGGGGAATTTCTAAGACGCACTTCCCTTGACCAGCCAACGTGTCAGGCTGGTCCAGGGCATTCTCTGCTCTGCATCCACGTAGTGCTTCCTAAAGATCTAGCACGATCTTCTGTGTCGCTTTAAAACATCAACTTATCAAAAAGGCTGGCTAGCTTCAACATTAATAAGGGCAATAACAGCATTGGATTGCACCACATTCAGCCTGTTTAAAATCAGTGTGTTCATAACGGTCTGAAAGTAATAATTGATCACCACTGAAGGATGCTGAGGAACCACCACATTAGTTGAACAGTTAACAAATAAAGGGGAAAATGTAAGCATTTATCCGGTCTTTCCTTCAACAAACTATCTCTAAGGGTAATCATAGTAGAAGAGAACAAGTTTCCTTTTATAGGCATATTCCAGCTGGGGGGGGGGGAACCCAGAATGACAGATTAAGAATATCGCCGTATTATAACCCCTAATAAATGATTGGATTTAGGTCAAACATCAATATTCGATAAAATTTCAGTAAGACAACCATATTTGAGCCTTTGAGGGAGGAATGCAACACCACCTATAGCTTGGACATGAAAAAACTGGAACTTTGGGAAACTTTCCATTCTGATTGGTTGAGGAAACTAGAGGTGGGTGAATGTTGGACCAATCCAAGCGTTTCTGGTGGCAGAGGGGAGTCTTCTGGTGAAAGAGAAGGAATTAGGGTGTGATCGCATCTCCTTTCGGCCACTAGTGACTTTTTCCTCCAACACCTTTAACTTTTGGAGGTCCTTTCCCACACTGGAATGTATTCCACCTTGACTGCAGCTTTGTGAGATGCACAGTGTGTTAGCAGTTTCAAAAAATCAGAAATGGGGGGAAGTCTTATTTTTAAGAAAAGGTTGAGTGACTTATTTATTGGCCTATTGGCCTTGAAGTCAAGAGATGACTCTGATCATCTCTTCCACATCTTCGTGTGGAAGTCCAGGAACACGATCCTCCATCTTTTCACATTAGCACAGCCAGTGGGATTACCAGGTTATGGAGTGATTACCTTGGGAAGTATAAAACTGGGATGAGGTAGGTGAGAGGTCAACTTCTGTGGGAAGCGGGGGGTATGGGAGCTGGGCAGGAACGAAAGTGGAGACAAGGGGGTGGCGTCCCATCCTCCGCAGCACTTTACAGGTTTTAAAGGACGTTCGCATCCATCCCTTTCCTGGTTCCTTGCAGGTAGAACTGCAGGCGTTTTTGTCTCACTTTACGGGGTGGGGAGCCCCCAGGAGTTAAGAGCCTGGGTCACCAGCTTGTCCAGAGTCAACAGCAGAGCTGCAGCCACTCCGGTTCCGGGTCTGCACTGCGCTCTCCCTCCCACCCTTCGTCCACCCACCGGGTTAGCACGTGTGCCCAGCCGTGTGCACAGAGGTCTGTGTTCTTGTACTCGGGTGTCCCCAGCTGTACATTGAAGTCTTTCTCTCTGCGTGCTGCCCCGCGGGGGCCTTGCTGCCTGATGGCAGGTGAGATGCCCGCGGCTGAGATGTCCGCGGTTGAGTGGAGCTGAGCCTGCCAGTGCGGAGGCCTGGGAGGGGGGCGTGAGGCTGCTCGGCGACCCCCGGGCAGTGGTGGCCCGGCTGACCCGTCTTGGCCTTGCTCTGCCCCTTTCAGCTCTTGGCTTCTGCCACTTGGTGCCTCTACCCTTCCTGATCTTCATGGGTTTCCAATTTCCTCTATCAGTTTCTCCGACCAGGTCCCCAGGGTGTTGGGGTCCGCGTCCCCTTTCCAGCCGCTGTTACTTGTCTAGCAGCCGGAGGTCAGAGAATGGGGCTGACGTTGCGGGAGGTAGGGGCGTGGCTCCCGGAGAAGGGGGACTGGGCGTGGGGGGTATTCCCGGACTCAACATAGAGATGCTGCGGGCATGGGGCCATAACTAAGACAGCAATCAGGCCCCTCCACCGACGCTCAAGATGCCTCCCCACCCTCAGTCCCGCCCCCCACCGGGACAAGGGGCGGATTCTCGTCTGCAAGGCTAGAGGCCACCCAGCAGCGCCCACCTCGCCGCCCAGGGGCCACTCCGCTTTCCCAGGCGCCCCGCCACCCCACCGCCTGCCCCCAGCGCCCGCCAGCCCCCGGTGGCAACCTAGTCCGCTCCAGATCCGCGCCACGTTTCCTCTGCATCACTGGGGTTTCCTCCCCTCGGCCGAGCCCGAGCAGAGCAGCGACCGCGCGTACCGCCCGAATCCCGAAGCTCTGGGCACCCGACCCCGCGTGCAGGACTGAGCAGACTCGGCCTTCGCATCGGAACTCCGAGTCGGGACCGGACGGCGGCGGCCGGGTCCCCGCGCGTCATCGGAATTTGACCCTCGGAGCTCCGAGGTGACCCCGCTCTAGGTACCGTTCGCTGTCTGCGCGGCCGGCCCCGATCGGCTTCTCAGCAGCCAGTCCCTGGCCCTGGCTTGAGAGAGGTAGGGGGGCAGCCAGGCCTGGGGGCGGGGGGCTGGCATGCTCCTCCCCCGCGGAATGGGGGCAGCAGAAAGCCACGCCCCTCAGGGGAAGAGGGCCTCTGCGCCCCCTACCGCCCAAACCATCCCAGCCCCGCGTCCCAGATAACTTGAGACCCGACTTCGCCCAGGTGTTCAGAGGCGCTTTCCCTCCGCCTCCCATCATCATTTGGCTCCCACCTGTCCCAGTCTGGTGGGACTGGCGCCCAGGGGGACCCCTGCCTAGAAGACAGCTTCCTTCGGGATCTCCCTCCCGCCTGCTTCCCCAAAAGACCGGGGACCACCCTCCAATACAGCCTCCCCTTCTCCATGATCGTGGCCCTCTGAGGCACCCCCTCTCCCCAGTTCGTTGGTCCATCTTCCTCATCCCCTGCCCCTGCCTCACTTCATCTTGTCTCCCCTGCCTCTGCTCTCAAGTCTCTGTTCTCTTCCAGCCTCTGCTGATTTTCTCCTCCCCGTGACCCCTTTCCCCACCACACACCACGGGGAGAAGGGGGTGTGTCAAGCTGCTTTCTATTTCTGGTCTCCTTGGGGAGGGGGCGCGTGCTAGGACTTGTTTGGCGTCTGCTGTGCCCTGTGTCACGAGGTGTCATGTCTGTGACTTGGTATCCGTGCCTCTCCCCCACCCCCCATCGTCTCCAGGTTGCCTTGGTCTCCTTTCTGCCTCGGCTCCAGTCCTTTTCGCTCTCTTCTTTGGGCGCTTTGTGTAGCTGCGGTCTCTTTGACTCCGCCTCTCCTCTCTCTGCTTCCTCTGCTCCGTGTTCCAGCTCAGAGAAGCTGCGACCTCAGGGCCATCAATATTTCAGGTGTGTTTGGTGGGAGAGAGATGGGGTGGGGGATGGGCTCCCGGCATGCCCAGCGACGACTCCAATCATCCTCTCGCCAGAGTGGATCATTCATATTTATGAGATTGAGAGAAAGGATACAAGGATGATAAGGAAATGCTGCCCCCTTTCCTGGAGCTTGGTCCAGGGGGTGCTTGGACTACATTTCCCATAGTGCCCAGGGGCACAGGGCTGCCTCTGTCTCTGCCTAGACACCTAATGGGAGTTAGAATTCAAGGAGCCACATTGGAGGGTGGGAAGGGATCAGAGTGTGGAGCAAGGGCTGTGGGGCCAGCTGGCTGCTTTCACTTGGCCTGTTACCCCTGACCTGCTTTGTTCCCAGCTCCCACCTCCTCCAGGGTTGAAGGACCTTAGAACTTTTGCATCTCCCACAAAGGGAATAGGAGTAGAGTGCCGGGGAAGAAAAGATGCAGGGTGAATTAGCAAGTTCCCCGTTCTTTCCTGTGACCCTGGGAATCCCCTCCCCTTACACACATCTTTATCTGAGATGCAGACACTCTTTGGCAATAGTCTCCCCATCTTGAAAGTAAGAGGGAAAATGGAGCCTAATGTTTGCACCTAGTAGGATGTGTTCCGGTCTACAAGTTGCTCACATTCTGCCCCCTTACGGGGGCAGTGGGGAATTGCAGGAATATCCCTGAAGTACCAGCTTGTATGTTCCAGGGACCCATGAACAGCTGATGAGATTGTCTGGAGATCCAGATGGGATCCACAAGCTAACATGCTCCTCTCTGGGACTCATCATCCCCAGAACCTGGCGCAAGTAATCTGACTGAGCTCATTTTTGGCATAGAAATTATTGACCGAGGGGAGAGGGCAGTGTGTGTTCCTCCCGCAATCTCATCTCTGCTTCTGAGTCAGCTTAACCCTTAGCACTTGGAAACTTTGACTCCTGCCAAGGACCCAGTCACGCCTATCCTTGCTCTTCAGGCTGGGGTCGGAGATCTCCCCACTGGCCTGAGATCCAGGAAAATTTAACTTTTAGCCCAGCTTTGTCCAAGCTGACTCACCTTAGGCAAGATCTTAACCATCTTGGGCCTTGATTGATTTCCTCTCTGTGAAAGGAATGGGTTGAACCTGACGGTCCCTAGTGGCCAAAGCAGGGGCTCTAAGATCCTCTGAGCCTGTGCTTCTCCCTGCCCTCTGATGATACTGGCCTGAGCTGTCTTACCTCACCCCAGCTTACCTGGGAGAGCCTTAAGCCTAAGAATTAGACTGAAAAGAAAGCGGGAGATGGAGCCCTGGTTTTGAAGCTTGTTTGTATTGGAACCACACTGTGCTTACATAAGCCATGTTTGTGATATGGAAGCTAAAATTATCCCTAACCCACCCCTTGGTGCCCCTGCTGGTCCCATCTCCTAAACCTAGGTCATGTTCTTGTAAAAAAAAAAAAAAGTCTAATCATCCCCAAATCACCCTCCTCAAAGTAGCTGGTATGTGTGTCCCCTGGGATGTTGGTTACTGAGGCTTATGTAGGTTATGTGAGTGGACAATTCTAATTGGCTGAAAGAGAGAAGAGGGGATTTGATTGGTTGATTTGGTTGGTCTGGAGGAGAGAGATCTGGAAATGAGGAGTCATCCGGACTTGGGGATGGGCCTTTCTCTTTCGTCCTGTCTCTGGGCAGGGGAAAAAGAAGAGCTGGATGCCAAGGGGGTACCAGATCCACAGGCCATTGACCCAAAAAGGAAACTCTGAGGAATGGGAAGAGCAGGGGTAGCCTGAGTGGGAGATGAAGCAAGGATTACAGGAAGAAATTTCCCAAAAAGAAGAAAAGAAGAGAGAGAGAAGGGCGTGTGGATCCAGGGGCCCAGCCAGTGAGGGTGCGTGGCAGATGTGTAGAACTCGGAATAGCGGAGGAACCTGACAGCCTCTGTAATTTAGAATTCCGAGCACAGAAAGAGGGGAGCAGAGAAGAGGGGGTAGTCTGGGGTTGGGAGCAGCTAGAATGGGGTCTGGACCCCTGAGTAGACTGAACTCTCGCACAAGATGGCCTGAATGCAGGAGTAGCTAAGAGATGGGCTCCGGGGCGGAGCTAACAGGAAGCTGGGAGTAGCAGGCTCCTGGGAGTGGAGCCAAAGAAAGGGGGCGTGGCGAGTGGGCAAGGACCTGATGCTCAGGGGTATGGAGCATCTCAAGAGGTGGAAGAGACGCCCGCGAATGATCTTTCCGCGGGCTCTTGAATCCAAGACCCAAGTGCTGAGGAGAGCTCCCTGGGCAGGCCCCGGGTCTGGCCCAGCGCTCGGGGTGGTGACGACGGAGTGCTCAGCGTGTGGGAAGAGGCGAGCCCTTTGAACGGAGAGCCCTGGCAGGGGAGAAGGCGGGGTGGGGGCCCCCTAACGGCCTTGGCCCGCAGATCGCCCTGGGGTCGGTGCACGTGATCGACGCTGGGGAGACGGCTCTGGTGGAGTGGCTGCGCGCGGCGCCCTGGGAGTGCGGCAAGGGTGTGGCTGGGATGCTGCAGCGCTTCTGCTCGCAACTGGTCAAGCGAAGGCACCCGGGGATCAAAGTGGCACGACTCACCCGGGACGACCAGATGGGGTCCCAGGAGCTGAAGCAATACCACCTAATCGCCAAGCAGGTGAGAAGGACAAAGGAGCTCGGATGGGCGGGCCTGTCCCCGAAGCCTCCGGGCTTTATCACCCTATATGCAGCCAGTTGCCGGCTTTCCTTCGCTCCCGGCTCTGCCGAGTGGGGGCGCCCATGAGCCCTGCCCTGGGACTCCCAGTCCTTACCCAGGCCCTTTTGCCCAGGGAAAGTCAAACAGCTCCCGACTTCCCGTCTTTAAGTCCTCCATCCTTACTCCAGGAGGCTGGAGCCCAGGCGTCCCGACTTGGTGTCCCCGCCTCTCTTCAGGGACCCAAACATCCTAATCTGAGCCTTTGTCCTTCCCCTCCGTCTCCCGCATCCTACTGACTGATCAGCTTCCCTCACTTCCACTCTTGGGGTCCACATCCCCACGACCCTGACTACTCCACATTGATCTCCACTCTCATTGGGGATCCAGGTTTTCGGAGGCCTTGCCCCTGGTTCCTGCATGCTCTCGCATACCCCACTCCACCCGGCCCCGCACGGTCGGCCCTCGAGGGGCCCAGGTGGGAGCCCGTGGGTGTGAATGTGGGAGTGACGGTGCCAAGAGGAGCCGGGCTCGCAGCCCTCCCGCCGCCCGCCCCGCGATCACTCGTGCCACCCCCCCCCCCCAGTACATCCTTTTGGTCCAGTTCAACGTGTCGGCCCTGCTGGAGGGGCTGGGCGCGCGGCTGGCGGCTCTGCGGGCCTCCGGCACCTTCTCGCCGCTGCCCACGGAGGCCGTGTCGGAGGCTGGCGGCGTCGTGGCACGCCTCCCCTGCTGTCGCCCTCTGTGCAGCGCGACGTGCTTCCGGGCGGGACCATCATCCAGGACTGGCAGCCCTACCGGCCGAGCGAGAGTAACTTGAGCCTGCTGGCGGCCAAGGGCCTGGAGTGGCGCGTGAACAACCGCGCGCGCCCGCGCGTGCTCACGCTGTGCACGCGCCCCTTCCCCATCCCACCTGGCGGCAACGGCACGTGCTGCTACGTCAACATCTACACCTTCGTCAGCGAAGGCGCGCAGGTTCAGAGCCAGCTTCTGTGGCATCTGCAGCGCCAGGCCCCGCGTCTCGTCCACCTCAACGTCATGTGCCAGCTCTTCCTGGCGCCCCAGCTGTGGTTACAGCTGGCTGATTTCTGCCAGGCTGGCTTGGGGCTCGAGCTGGTCAAGGGTTATACCGAACAATACCTGCTGGAGGCCGACATCTAAGGCCTCTCCAGTCGGAGGGGAGAGAAGATGCACTTTAGACCCACCTCCTTCCTCGTATCCCCCGAAAGCCCCGCCCCTGCTCTTTTCAAGCTCCGCCCCCTCCCCCTGCCCTCTGTCATCGGCTCTGCCGCCTACACTTACCCGCAGTCCATCCTTCCCTTCCCTTTTCCCCTTACATCTCTGTCTGCCATCTTGACTCTAGCGCCCCCAAACGCAGTTGCCCACACCCTGATCTGAACCGCCGGGTTTGGGGAAGCCACTCGCGCTTCTGTTGTCCACCCATTCCCTTTCCCTGCCAAAGAATGGGTTCCTTCACAGCTTCAGAGCCTTTCCCTGTCCGTGCCCCAGCCTGGGAGAGTACTCTGCCCTTTGTGGCTTCTCCCTCCTGCCCCGTCGTGGATGGAAGCTGGCAGAGTGTGTGCAATGCCCAGTACCCGGCCAGGAGCACAGTTGCCCAATACGTATTACTTTTCTTGCTCCCGATCTTTCTCAGGCCCCCAGAGCTTGCCCTCTGCTCCTCTCTTCACCGTCCTCTCAGTCTCCCGTGCCTGGACCTCTCTTAGTTCTCCGCTGTCCATTTGTCTGCCCCTCCATTCCCCTTCTCCATGGTCTCTTCATCGCCCGCCCTGTGTGTAATATGGAGAAGGACCTGTAAAGGAAATAGATTTATAATGCCCCACCCCCATTTGGCCCCTGCTTACGCTCTGGTGATGCACTTTTCTGAGGCTGCCTCCTCTGACTGGGGTTTCCTCCAACTTTGCACAATGGTGCTATTTTGCAGACTCCCTTCCCTATGCCCCCAACCAGGGGCCCGAAGCAGGCCCGTGAACCAGAGGGTTCTGGGTGGAGAGCCTGGTGTAGTGGAGGGCAGGTCGCTCAGCCTGGTGCGAGTCTGTCTCCTGCTTCTACCCGGGCTGCCTCCTAGCGTGACTGGAACCCCCTCCTCCAGATATTTCTGGACACCCCTCCCATCCTCTTGTTCCTTTATGCTTTTTGTGGACTTTGACAGTCTTCTATTTAAATGCAAGTAGTAACAGCTGCATTTGCACAGCGATGTCTCCTACACGGGATCCTCACATCTCCCGCACAGGGAGGAGAGAGAGGCTCAGACTCAAGTGCCTTCCAAGTGGCTCACAATAGCTGGTAGCCTGGCAGAGACTAGAAACCAGGTGTCCCCAGCCCAGAGTATACCTCAGAACCTCACTGTAGCTGGAACTTCTTGTTGGACAATGGACAGTGAGCACTGGGTTCGCTGGGGATGGAATCAAAGACATGGACAGAGGAGGGCGCCAGGAGGTGGAAGAAGGTGGACAAAGCAGACAGCCGCTGCTCCCCTCTTTCCCCCCGTTCCGGCTGTGCTGCTGTGCCTTGCTTGGCTGCCTCCTGCACCTGACCAAGCTGCCCGCCTCCCTGTCACTTCAACCATGGCTGTATTGCAATAAAACGGGCCCTTGGCCCACCTTCTGTGTCTGTTTCACTTCTTCTCGGTGGGGAGGGATGAGCTGCATTGTCCTCTCCCCCTTCCCCAGCAGCCTGTATCAGAGAGGATCTCTAAGCCCTGTGGCACTGGGGCTAATGACTTCCTGGAGGGGAGCTGGGGAGGGCTGCTGGCCGTTGCGCGCCCCTACCCCCCACACCAGCCAAGCGGCAGAAAGAATTGATTGCTCAGAGCCGAGGCGGGCAGCGGCACGGCGCTTGGACTAGCCCCCGGCCTCGCTTTCCCCTGGACCTGGGAGTCTGCTGCTGCTCCAAATTCTTGCTCTCTCGCAAGTTCCCCTTGGCATCCAGAACCAGCCTGCCTCATTCCCACGATCCAGGCATCTAACTCCCAGCTCTCGGCTCTCTCGCGGCCAGCGCCCTTGCTTTCTCCCCATTCCTGGGTGGGCACCGCACGGAGTGGGAAGAGGTGGAGGGAGCCTGGGCGCCGCCCCGCGGGAGCAGAGCTCCGAAGCGGCGGAGACTGCGATCCCGAAAAGTACCACGCGGGGGCGCCAGGACGTGTGCGGACGCGGGCAAGGCAGCGCAAGGTGGTTTCCATCCGTGTGAGTGTGTCCATGGGCGTCTTTGTGTGTCTGTGTTTCTGTACATGTGTGTACGAATCTGGGGGTGTCTGGGTGGGATATATTCGGGGCTACGGGCCTGGCGTACCCCAAAATAAGGTACTTCAAGTGGCTTCTTGACGAGGAGGCTCTTGATAGGTTACTATGTACGTGTGGATGGGGAAGCAGGGGACTGTGTGTATCGTCGCGTATGCAAGGCATAGCCTGTGAGTCTTGGATTTTTGAAGTTATATTCCTTTAGGGCTTTTATGCCCTCCCACCATCCTGTGTAAAAGGAATCGAGGGCTCTCAACCTGAGCCTCCATTGCACTGGCCACATCTTCAGCATGTGCCTGGACAGGTGACTCTGCTGGACTAGGTGTGACATTGTGTTTGTGTAAGTGGGTGTGTCTCAGGATATCAGTGTAACTCTGAATGATACTGTTGTGTGTGTGTTTGTGTGACAGGTGGATGCTGGAGGAGGCTGGTTCAGGATTATGGAAGTACAAAATTTCCTTTCTCCTGTTAGCTTGTGGATACCACCTTCAGGTGTGTGTGTGTGTGTGTGTGTGTGTGTGTGTGTGTGTGTGTGTGTTCCTTTCTCAGTCTTTCCAGTGGCTGTCTCTGTGTCTCTCCTCATCTCTGTCTCTTTCCCTCTTTCTCTTTTCCTTTCTTGGTGACTCATCTCTGCGGCTTTGCCCTCCCCCAGCTTGCTGGGTCTCCCCTCCCCCACCCAGGAGTGGGTGGGGGTATGAAGGAATGGGACCCTGGGACTAAAAATCAGGGTGAGCACCCCTTTATTACTCATCATTCCCAGACCCACCAGTGGCCCGTAGCCCTCTCCCAGTCCCCTTCCCAGGACTCCCCACCCTCCTGAACTGGGGTGGGCAGGGGATAGGCAATGATGTGTTCTAATGGGGTCATTTCCACGGGGTTCTTCAGCACTTTCTTTCAATTCAAGGTGGAGACCCCTGCCTTTCTCATAAAGTGCCCCTCCCTGCCTGTCCCCCCCCATAGCTGACGCATTGAAAGGCTGCAGAGGTGAGTCACCAGTTGCGGGGAAGGGAGGAAGAGAGGGGAGGTGAGCTGCGGGGACCCCCAAGCCCCTGCCCTCTTTTTCTTTCCCAAACCTTCTCAGGGAAAAGACCCAGTGCTCTACCCCCTCCCTGGGTTTTCCAAATCTTCAGCTTGGATCATTACTTGGTTGGAGCCCATCTTCTCTTACTACCCTCCTGGAGAGTATGAGAGATTCAGAAACAAAGATAAAGAGACGGATTTACACAAACATCTCAGAGCAAACACCAGGCATCCCCTCCTGGTCCCCTTCTCAGCTTTGCCTTTCCCAGCTCTGTCTCTCATCCCTCTTTCTTTCCTGCCATCTCCCTCCTCTCCCAAACTTCAGGAACCTGTCCCCAGTCCAGCTCTTTTCCAGAAGCCCCTAGAGGCAGCCAGGTGTGAAGGGCATAGCACATTTTTGAGAGGTGGGGTGCGTGTGAACGAGCTGACCCAGGCAGGGAACTGGGATAGAGAGAGGCAGAAACAGACCCAGAGATTCAGAGTCCATGCAGACACAATCCAGATTGTGGAATCACCAAATCTGTTGCCCTGGCTTCCATCTCACTGCCCCCTCCCCCGTGTCATAATGACTGAGGCTCTTGGGATGTCGATTTCTGAGAAGCTCCCCTGGACTTCTGGGAGGAGTGGAGGAGGAAAGCATTGGGGAAGAATGCAGGAATGAGGGAACACTCTAAAAAACGCGGGGCAAGACTTGAACTTGGGGGCTGCAGATGAGTGGCTAGGATACTGAGGCTTTTCTGCACAGAAATCTAGAGGTGAAGGTAAGTGGGGGAGGGGCAGGAAAGATCAAAAGCACATAGCAGTCCACATAACCTGTAACATATATCAACTGACATGGAAGGACCCAGATAAGTGCACAAAGACACACGTATTATTGACACACCAAGCCAGGCACAATTTTCAGACACCAGCAGATACCCAGACTGGATGCACTCAAACTCCCAACCGCACAGGCATACAGGCACTCAGAGGGATCAGGACCTACACACACCCACACTTACAGAGACACCTGGAAACAGGCAAAAACACAGCTCCGCAGATTGGAAGAGAAAATTACATATTTAAATTGGAACACTACCATGCCCATCCACTCTCTAGCTGATTAAATGCACAATTGGTCCCCCCATTTTCCATTTCTTTTTCTTTCCCCCTATGTTTCACTAATCTCGGGACACACACAAACGCAATGCACACGTATGTACATGCATGTGCACATATACAAGCCCACAGGAACACAAACAATTTCTTTAGATGCCCATCTCTGTCATCTCATACTTGGTCTCTTAGCCCCATCAGCCTCTCAGGCTACCCCCCCCCCACCTCGCCTCCCTCCCTCCCTCTTTCCTTCTCTCTTGGATGGCTTCCCCTCCCCCCAACAGATGTCTGAGCCATCTCTCTCTGATTCATCCTCCTCAGGAAGGTAACGTGACCCCCCCCATTCCACTGCTCTCGGTAACCAGGCAGGGAGGATAAAGGGGAGTGGGTTGAGGAGGAAGACGAATGAGGGGAACCCATAGGGGCAGAGGGATGTCCTAGATAGTCTGGGGAGGGGATGAGGCACAGTCTCAGGTCTGTTGCCCCCTCCTCTCCTTCTTTGGCATCTTCACAGTCACCTTGGTTCTCCTATTTTTTTTCTCTGTAGTCTGATGCTTTACCTGTTCCAGATGCCTGCCTGCCTGCCTCCCTCTCCTGCCCCCATCTCTTCTCTCTTTCCTCTCTCTCTACTTCTCCCCACCTCTTTCCCCGCAGAGCTGATGGGTTTTCTTCTGGGAAAGTGGAGTCACTGATGGAACCGAGAAGCCACTGCTGGCTATAGAGGGAAAGCACGTGAGCGTGTGTGTGTGTGTGTGTGTGTGAGCGTGTGTGTGTGTGTGTGAGAGAGAGAGAGAGTTTGAGAGAGAGAGAGAGAGGAGAGGATGAGGGTCAGTGCTAGGAAGAGATGAGGAAGGGGTTGAGGACTGGCTCTGAAAGAGTCTCTGAGCTCCTAACGTACAGCTCTGATCCCGGTTTCCAGAGTCTTAGGGCGCGGGTGCCCTGTGTGTGCCCACAGGCACCCGTGTCCGCAGTCCTTGTGTGTCTGGCATGTGTCATTCCACTCCCCCCCCTTTCCCTGCCCACGCCCCCGCACAGCTCTCTCCCTGCACCGCAGCCCCCCTCCAGCCTCCCTCCCTCCCGTTCATTTCTGCAGTGGCTGCTCCCCTTGCCTCCCTCCCCTCTCCCCTGCCCCCCTCCTCATTTCCGTCCTCCCCCACCCCCGCCCACGGCTGGTCTCCCTTCACTGGACCCGGCTCGCTGATGGATTCTCTTTGCGCAATCTGTGCGTCATCGCCCCCCATCCCCCCGGAACCTCTAACTGTCCAAGCCCCCAATCCCAACCCCTCTGACAGGAGATGCGGACGAGGGGTCTGGTGGCAGAGAGCGGCGATCTCTGACGTTGCACTCCCACCCTCCACGCCCCCCTCCATCGCGTTTAAATCTTCCCTTTAAGCAATGGAGAGAGATGGAGTTGAGTCACCCCCCACCTGCGCACCCCCCTCCCCACCTGGTCTGCTCTCGTCCTCCAAACGTCCTTTGGGGGGTAGCAGCGAGAGGGGAAGAAGCAGGAGGGTGGTGGGGAGAGGTGGTCTGAAAAGGGGCCAACAGAGTCAGCTGGACAGGACAGACACACATTTTTTTCTCGAGACACGCACAGACCATGAACAGACACGACACAGAGGCACACACATCCTCAATCTTTTCCCTATCTCTTCCAACTCGGATCCTTTCCGACAGCATACCCAAGCCTCAAGATCCACCCATGTGCCCCGGCCCAGGGCCCGCATCCCGCACCGCAGATCCGCGGACAGCGCCCGCAGGCGCGCAGAACCATCCCTCCTCTCTCAGGTTCACGCCGTCCTTGGGCGTGTTCCCCACGCACCGTGCAGTCGGGGAATGGGGAGTCTGGCCCCCTCCTCAGTTTTGGAATCCTTCTCTTCCCCCTTCCCAGTGTGGATCTCCTATGGGGCCCAGTCAGACGCTGGGAGAGCCCCCACCCTATTCCGCTCGTCGGGCTCCCGCCGCTGCAAGTTGCTCTGTAACCCACCCTCCCGCCTTGCAGCGTCTCTGAATCCACCCTTCCATTCATTCTGCCATTCATTCATTCATCCTTTTCTCCTCGTCCCTCCTTCATTCATTCATAGCCCCCCTGCCCCGCCCGCCTCAGCATTTCATTCATTCATTCCTTCATTCATTCATTTCCCCGGTGCCAGGATAGCGCACACCCCTCCAAAGAGGCCTGCAGCGCGCAGGCGCGGGCCGGGAGAGGCACGCATCCTCCAATCGCTGGGCGGCCTCCCGCCTCTAGGCGCCCGCCCGCTTCCCCATGAATGAACATTGACGTCAATGGGGCGGGGCGATTCCCACGTGACCCCGCGCGCTCCTCTTTATAAGGCGGTAGCGGCGCGGGCGCTGTCCAGCGTGCTGAAGCCTGAGCGAGCGAGTCTCCCGGAGCCGCGCGGACCCAGCTGAGCCCAGCCCACTGGACGCCAGACCTCGACCATCGCTCGTATCCTAGCCACCGCTCGGAGCCGAGGCGGACGAGTCCCGATCTTCCCCTGTCCCCACCCCGCCCCGACCCTCCTCTCCACCTCCCGCGTCGTGGCACCAGCTGGTAAATACTCTGCTGTCCGTCCCTCAAACCCTCAGCAGCCGTGGGCGTGAGGGAGGGTTCTCTCTCCCCCAGTTGGGAGTGTTGAAAACACAGCGGGGAGCCCCCGGGAAGGGTCCCTGGTAAATGGGGGAGTCGCCGCTCTTCTCTTGCTGCTGAAGTCGCCCACGCACCATCCGGGGAGTCCTGTGGGGAGGGAGCAGAGATTTTTTTTTCCCCCGTATCCTTGCTGCTTAGTACGTGGGCGCTGCCAGTGAGCTGGCTCAGGGAAGGGGGGCGAGGAGGCACCGGGGGAGCAAGGGTTGCAGGCGTTTTCCCATTTACACGACTCCAGAGATCGGCACATCTTCCTCCTTTGCTCCTAAACGTCCCTTTTCAGGGTAAGGTTAGGGGGATAAGGGAAGCCCCGGCTTTCCTGATTAAAGGTGGGGGAAGGGAATATAAAATCAGAGAGCGGAAAATTCTTACAGAAACCCTCTCTTTCTTTGGTCACTTCTATTTTTTCACAGTCTCCGGCAGCCCTTCGGTCATGAAATCGCTCAGGTTGCCGGCTCCTGTCCTCCTCTGCTTCCTTCTACTGACCAAGGGGTTGGGAGCAGCGCCCCCGGGGCACCCTGAGGCTCAGCCACCTCCCCCCAGCTCTGAGCATAAAGAGCCGGTAGCCGGGGACGCAGTGCTCGGGCCGAAGGATGTTAGCGCCCCAGAGGTCCGAGCCGCTAGGAATTCAGAGCCGCAGGACGAGGGAGAGCTTTTCCAGGGCGTGGATCCCCGGGCGCTGGCCGCGGTGCTGCTGCAGACACTCGACCGCCCGGCCTCGCCCCCAGCGCCTGGCGGTTCCCAGCAGCGGCCAGAGGAAGAAGCAGCAGAAGCTCTGCTGACCGAGACCGTGCGCAGCCAGACCCACAGTCTCCCAGCGCCAGAGACCCAGGCGCCCGCGGCCCCGCCTCGCCCTCAGACTCAGGAGAATGGTCCCGAGGCGGCCGACCCCTCCGAGGAGCTCGAGGCGCTAGCTTCCCTGCTTCAGGAACTGCGAGATTTCAGTCCGAGCAGTGCCAAGCGCCAGCAAGAGACGGCGGCAGCAGAGACGGAAACCCGCACGCACACGCTGACCCGAGTCAACCTGGAGAGCCCCGGGCCGGAGCGCGTGTGGCGGGCTTCCTGGGGAGAGTTCCAGGCGCGCGTCCCGGAGCGCGCGGCCCTGCCGCCGCCTGCTCCCCCGCAATTCCAGGCGCGTATGCCCGAGAGCGGGCCCCTTCCCGAAGCCCACCAGTTCGGGGAAGGAGTGTCCTCCCCCAAAACACACCTAGGTGAGGCACTGGCACCCTTGTCCAAGGCGTACCAAGGCCTGGGCGCTCCCTTTACCAAGGCGCGCCGGCCGGAGACCTCACTCCTGGGCGGCTCTGAGGCGGGAGAGCGCCTTCTACAGCAAGGGCTGGCGCAGGTGGAAGCCGGGCGGCGGCAGGCGGAGGCCACACGGCAGGCCGCGGCCCAGGAAGAGCGGCTGGCCGACCTCGCCTCCGACCTGCTGCTCCAGTATTTGCTGCAGGGCGGGGCTCGGCAGCGCGGCCTGGGGGGTCGGGGGCTGCAGCAGGAGGAGGAGCGAGAGACCGAGAGGGGGCAGGAGGCGGCGGAGCAGGAGAGACGCGGCGGGGAGGAGAGGGCGGGGGAAGAGGATGAGGAGGCGGCGGAGGCGGAGGCGGAGGCGGAGGAGGCGGAGAGGGCGCGACAGAACGCGCTACTGTTCGCCGAGGAGGAGGACGGGGAAGCCGGAGCCGAAGACAAGCGCTCCCAGGAGGAGACGCCCGGCCACCGACGAAAGGAGGCCGAAGGGGCAGAGGAGGGCGGGGAGGAGGACGACGACGACGAAGAGATGGACCCGCAGACAATCGATAGCCTCATTGAGCTGTCCACCAAACTCCACCTGCCAGCGGACGACGTGGTCAGCATCATCGAGGAGGTGGAAGAGAAGCGGAAGCGGAAGAAGAACGCCCCTCCCGAGCCTGTGCCGCCCCCCCGGGCCGCCCCCGTCCCCACTCACGCCCGCTCCCCGCAGCCCCAGCCCCTCTCCCCCGCCCCGGCTCGGGACGAGCTGCCCGACTGGAACGAGGTGCTCCCGCCCTGGGATCGGGAGGAGGACGAGGTGTTTCCCCCGGGGCCCTACCACCCTTTTCCCAACTACATCCGGCCGCGAACACTGCAGCCACCCGCTGCCTCGCGCCGCCGCCACTACCACCACGCCCTGCCGCCTTCGAGCCACTATCCCGACAGGGAGGCCCAGGCGCGGCGCGCTCAGGAGCAGGCAGAGGCAGAGGAGCGCCGGCTGCAGGAGCAGGAGGAGCTGGAGAATTACATCGAGCACGTGCTGCTCAGGCGCCCGTGACCGGCCCCGGCCCCGCCCCCGCGCGCCGCCGCGCGCGCCGCCACCCCCCTCCGTGTCGCTCCTTTCCCCTCTCAGTGTTTGCATGCGCCCGGCCCCGCCCTCGGCCGCCGCCCAGCCCCGCCCCCGTCCACCCCTCCGCCCGCGGGCCGCCCCGCCCCCGGGCTACGCCGGGACCTGTCAGACCTCTTCGTGCGTCGGTCGGAAGCCCGAAATCCCAAACTCACTCACGGGTGTCTCGGGGCCAGCACGGGGGGCGGGTAGTTTGTGCGAGTTCCCTGCCCCCGCGGGGCCCCGTCCCCACCTAGTCCCTCTCGGGATGTCCCGGTCTGAAACCGGAAAAAGGATTTCCAGTTAACTGTGTGAAGAAGTGTCTGTCTCCCGTCCTTTGGGCCTCCCAAGAGCCTCTCCACCCTCTCCGGATCGCTGTGAATTTACCCCTTCTTTCCCTACTCTGTTGTAAATACCCCTCACGGAGGAAATAGTTTTGCTAAGAAATAAAAGTGACTATTTTATTAGGACTTTGTTCTCGGTTATTCACCCGTCCCCTTGGGCCTGCGTGGTCCTTCCCAAGGGGCGGTGAGGGAAGCGCCATCCACAACACCCATCTCCTGCTCAACAGCGAAGGCTGAGTGACAGAACCTCTTTCAACCGTATTCGGCGTGGGGGAGGGGGCGTAGAATAGGCTCACATCCTTTAGGAAACCCTAAATTCCACTTCCAGCTTGGGGGTTAAAGTCACAGGTCCCCAGGCCCTGGCAGAGAGATGCAGAGCGAATACGGTGCCACAGCTCTGAGCCACCTAGTAAATCCTTCTTTGCACGATCTCAGGGCCACCTAGGCAGTGCTGGTGGCTCCCACCACCCCTGCTCTACCTTACCCACCCACCTCCCTTAACTGCTCCCTAAATTCCCTGGTCCTATGTACCTCACAAGACATATGGGGAGGAGGGGTTGGCGGCCACGGAAACATCCTGCTTTTAACTTCTTCTCAAGCCTTTTCTAAGCATAGAGGCTGGGATACATCCTTGAACTCTTGAGTCTCCTCCCCAAATGAAACTAAACCAGGTGAATGACCACAAAGAAACTTCAGAGGAGTGAAACCATGTCCCCAGGAGTTGCTCCTCCCTGTCTGAAGGCAGCTCAGGGAGCTGGAGGCACCTTGGTCAGCAGTCACTGAGGTCAGAGAGACACTGAGCTCACAAATCTGTTTGGAGGGAGGGTGGTGCCAGGTAAAATACAGGACACTCAGTCAAATTTGCATTTCAGATAAACAATGAATACATTTGCACAGGACACACTTATCCTAAAAACATTATTCATTATCATAACAAATTGAACTGGGTATCTTCATTTTTTTTTTTTTTTTTGGCCTTAAATCTGGCAACCCTAGTTCCAGGGATGAGTGGAACGGGCAGTGTTGCTTTCCCGTCCTGACTGATCGCAGCAGCCCTCCTTCACAGAGCCTAAGCCAGGCAAAGTCCAGAAATGCTTTTCCTTTTATTTTAGAGGAAAAGAAAAAAAAATCAGACACTTTCCCCACCCCACCCACTTAGCTCCTGCCTCACTGGGAACTCGGAGTGAAGGAGGGACAGGGCCCAGTCTTCTGTAAAGCCTACCCTTCCCCCAGCCCTCCCTTTCCTCAAAGTAGCAAGGTTAGAAAAAAATTAACTATGTTGCTCCTCCCCTGGAACTGAACGGAGGCCCCACTGCAGCCAAGAAGGAAGGGGAGGAGACAGATGAGGGAAAAGGACTTCCCTCTGGAGACACGGAGGTCCCCCTCCCAGGCAGAGAAGCTGCCCTGGCTGGCTGCGGGGAGGGCTGGAGGTAGGTTATGGGGCAGGGAGAAGAGAAGAGCCCTGAAAACCTTTTCCCTTTAACCTGACATATTTATATATTTACAGTTATAAGGGTGGGGGGGGAGTTTGGGGTGACATTAGTTCTTCAAAGGCAGGGGATGAAAGCCAAATAGCACCCCCAACTTGGTCACATTTTCCTGCCTCCTAGCTCCTAAAACCTCCAGTGGGAAAAGGGGAAACAGGAGGTAGGGGGTGGAGGGAGGGAATGTTTGAGGGTCCTGAGCCCGCAGCTCACGGCAAAAGAAGGTGAGGCAGCAGAGGAGGGGCAGCTGGGTCCCACCAAGAAAAGGGCCACCGATGCCCTGCCTCTCCACCAGCTCCCCACATCTCCACGTGGCCCCGGGCGGAGGCTAGGCCAGACCCATCTCCTCCAGCACACTGCGTGGCGACTCATCCTCCTAAGGCAGAGACAGACAGAGGGTGATGTGGAGACGCCAGGAGAGGCAGACAGGGTGAGGGAGTGGAGGGTGGGCAAGACAGCAATCGTAAGGACAGACAGAGGAGGGGGAAGCACAGACAGACACGGCGAGGGAAGAGAGAAGCCAACGTGAGCCCAAGGCTGGAACAGCTGGGGACCCTTCAGGGGAGCTCTCCAGCCTCCAGGAGCACCTCCCAGGTGCACCCCCCAGAGCCAACCATGGCAAGGAGTGGATCCAGGTTGAGTCCACCGCCACCCAGAGAACCCAAAGCCAGGAGCCTGGCAAGCAAGGGCCTCGGCCTTAGTATCCGAAGGGGAGGGCGTAAAGCTGGGACTGGGGGCTGGGAAACTGGCTTTCCCAGGGCTGGGGGCGGCAGATGGTTGGGTGCGGGGAGGGAGTAAGAAGCTGGCATCAGGTCCCCGAGGAAAGGTGGACCAGACTGCAGAGAGATGAGCCATCAGGGTCTGAGCAGAGCAGTAGCAACAGGGTGGGTGTGCGAGTGCCAGGGCACGTGTGCATGAGTGTGCATGTGTGTGTGCATGTGTGTGTGTGATGGGGGAGCTGAACCAGTGAGATGGCAAGTTGGATTCTGCCCTTTCTCCTTCTGCAGGGATGAGCCCCCCCCTCCCCGCCCCCCATCTCTCCCCCTCCTCAGAGCCAGCTCAGGCCGGCTTGCTCATCATTGCAGGTTCCGGTGACTCATCTCCCTGCACCAAGGCTCAGCAGTGGCACAGCAGAGAGGGGGCAGGCAGTAATGGCGTGAGGGCGGGGGTGCCGGATAGAAGGGAGAATCAACAACCAGGCGCCCTCAACCCCAACCCCCAAATCCCCATGGCAAAATTTTGCTTCTGAGAAGCAGAGGCTTTGAGTATGTGTGTGTTTAAAAAAAAGAAAGAAAGAATGACCTATCATGTGCCCCTTCTCCAATTCTCTAAGCAACCCTAAATGCCAAGAGTAGCGTGGGACAAAGGCGATTTGGCTGGGATGAGATACCCTGGGTCTTGGGAGAAGGAGGGGGGAACTGGCACAGGCGGCCGTCCGCCACCCCCACTACCTCCCACCCCGAGCAGTTAGGGCTTGAGGGCCAGCTGGCCGGCCAACCAGGCGCCTTGGGGGCCAGACGTCACAGGGAGGGTGGGAAGGGGCAGCTGGGGCCCGCAGGCAAGGTGTCCAGAGCAGGGAGGGTGCCCTTGGCCTTGGTCCTCTTCCTCCTACCCCTCACCGTCCCGGCCCGTACCTCCTGCAGCAGGTCCGCCTGCTCGATAGCCTTCAGCACACTCTTCTTGGAGGTGTCCTGGACGTCACCCCCCATCAGAAACTCATCCAAGATGAAGTAGGCCTTCTCAAAGTTGAAGATGATGTCCAGCTCGCAAACCTGGGAGGAGGGGGGGGAGGCAGAGCTGAGTGTCAAGGTGCATCTCCACCCCACTTTTTTCTCATCACGGTTCCATGGCCTTCGTGACCACTCCTGCCCACCTTGGGTTCTTGCCCCAGGTCTATGTCCTCCCAACCCCTAGGCCTTAGTCCTTGGTTCGGCTTTTCCTTCTCCTTCTCTTGCCTCTTTCTCTGTGATCATGAGACATTAGTTGCTCTAGTCTACCCTTGACTCCTGTTGCCTTCCCCCCAGATCTGTGACACAGTTCCTACCAGAGGCTGGGCTAGCTTCCCTCCCTAGGCACAGTGACAGGGCAGGGAAGGAGATTCTGGATCATGGGGTAAATGACTTCGGTTCCAAGCAGCACTGTGACACTAACCAGCTAACTCTACATGTCATTTAATTTCTCTGAGTCTCAGTTTTCTCATCTGAAAATGGAGACACCAACACCTACTCATAGGACGGAATGAGGAGCAATCAGGAGAACCTGAAAGCACTGTGTGAATTATTAAGTGGAATACAAATTATGGAGTTATTACTATTCCCCACCTAAGATCTGAGCTCACTGCCAGTGCCCAGACTATAGCCCAGATCAGTTAATTCAGAATCTCCAGGGGTGAGACATAGGCATCGCTATTTTTTTAAAAAAAAACCTCTCCAGAAGATTCCAAAGCAAAGTCAAGGTCAGGAACCACTGATAAAAATCTGAACATGGCCTCTGTCCTTGTGTGAGCAGTTTGAGCTGAGCTCTAGATGGATTGACTAAGTGGCAGATTCTGGTCCCCCCCCTCCTCCGCTCCCCACCCCCGGGGCTGATTAAGGGGCATGGCTAATAGGCTTAAGGCTTAAAGAGGGAGATTAACTACTGTTCTCACCGTTCCAGCTTCCCCTCTCCTGAGTCTTCCAGGGCAGAGACCGGAAGGACCCCAGAGTTTGGTAAAAAGAGGGGATTGCTGCGTATAGAAATGGTGGATGGGGAGACTTACGCTGCCGAAGTATTTGTCCAGGAGCTCCACGTACCGGTGGATCAGCTCCAGCGTGATAAGCTCATTGTCTTGGCCCTCGATGGCACAGCAGAAGTAGAGGCTGGCATATCTGAGGACAGGGGCACGGGAGGGATGGCTGGGATGGCTCCTGGGGCTGCTTTGGGACCCAAGCATTTTGTGCCCAAACCTCTCATTTTCCCCCATTCCCAGTCTGTGCCCCTACTGGACACAGGCGGGGTGGCCCCAGGGTATGCAAACAGTAACTCACTCTGCCTTAGTGCCTCTCACAGACGCAAGCTCTTTCCCTCTCGACCTCTGACCTGTTCAGTTTGACTCAGCAAAAACCTGAGCCACGAATTCACCTGCTCAGAGGAGGAACTGGAAAGGGTTGGTGCACGTGTGTGTGTGTGTGTGTGTATGTGTGTGTGTGCGCACACGTTAGGAACGTGGTGCAGGATCTATGATTGTTGAATGAGGCTGCCAGGGACATGTGCAATAGACAAGATGGGGCCTTTGGGACAGAGGTAGGTGCATGAAGTAGGTGTCAGGCTTGAGCAAAGCCAAAAGGGAACAAGAATTTCTTCAAGGTGAATTTGGAAAGTAAAGGCGGCTGGAGTTCATCGCTGCCCTCCGGATGTCCTTAGCTCTTCCTGACCTAAGGGACTGCCTATTTCTTGGCCAGGTGAACCCATCCCAGACCCCAATCAAGCAGGATCCAGGCAGGTCTGAAAGTAGGTGGGGAGTCACCTCTTATAGACAACTTTGAGGTCCCTCCACTCCAGGAAGCTGCACATCTTGGGCTTGCGAGCCAGAACGACCTGCATAAGCTCCCGAACCATCTTCTTTCGCTCCTTGTCTGAGGTGGCCAGGTACCATTTTTGTAGCCGCAGCTTCCCCTGCCGGCTGAACAGCAGCATAAATCGCATCTGGGGGTGGGGGGGAGTCAGAGCCAAGGGTCAGAGATGTGGTTCTCCGAGCTGGTTTCCTCCAGAAATACACAGCCCCAAACCCATCCCATCTACCTCTTCTCTACTCACGGCTCCTACTTTCTTCAAAACATCAGCCCTTGCTGTCAACACTGGCTACTCCCACCAGCAGGTGCCTTTCCTTGTAGGGGGTGTCAGAGCTTCTGAGTCTGTCATTTGGGTTCAAATCCTGGCTCTAGTAGTTGAGTAATTTGCCTTGGGCAATTACTTTATGTCTCTGGGCTTCAGTTTCTTGGTGTGTAAGATGGAAATAATAAAAGTACCTACTTTCCCAAGTTGTTAGGTGGGATTGAAGGAGTTGATACGTGAAACAGTGCCTGACACGTAGGAAGCACTATAACACATTAGGTATCATTATTATTATTTCCTGACCTCCTGTTTCCTAATCCTGTTTTCCAAAGGTGGGTAAAATGCTATCACGGTGACAAGAAGCCCATAGCTGATGTCAGAGACATCTGCTTTCTTTCCTGCTCTTTCTATCCACCACCACGCTGAAATCAGGTATTTTGTTCTCAAGAAGCTACCTCAATCCTCCACCCCATCCTAGCCATACACCCTTGCTGATGTCCCCAGCACACTGCCCTCCAGTGCCAGTCCTGTGCTCAGGGGTATTCTTCACGTTAGCACATGGTATTGGGAGCCCCGGATTCCACCCTCTGCTCTCCTCGGCCCTCCAGGCATTTGGCCAGACATATTCCTCTTTTACTCCTTTTAGGGTGCCTCCTGCTGAATGCCCACACCTCCCCAGATACCAGGTGACCAATTTCCCTTTCGGTCCCTCAGTTTGGACACAGCCATTCAGGGTGGCTCGCCTAGGGAATGTTTGTGGAACAAGCCCAGGGGGGTGGACTGGGGAGTGCAGAGCCCTCACTACCCCGTGCAACCACAGCTTCCCAGTTCGGGGGGGGGGGGGGGTTCCGGGCCACATCCTGAAGTCATATCCCTCTCCCTGGAGCTCTTCTCTCCGTGTACATTACGAGGGCCGGAGTCCTGGGTGTGCGGAACAGCACTAGTTTAGACGGCTAAGGATCAGAATTCGAGAGAACTGGGGTTTTTTTGGTGGCGGGGAAGGGGAAGCGCTTCTAGCGTGGTGGGTGGTCAACAGAGGGACACAAGAGAGCCGTGTGCGGCTACGATGGGGGGTGGGCCGGGAGCAGGAAGACGGAAGGCCCGAGTTCCGGAAAGAGGATGGGGTGGGGGCCGGAGAGCCAAGAGCACCGGAACCGGGAAGCCAAAGCCTGGGTCCCCGAGAGCAAAACCTCGAGCCCACTTGGCTTCCCCACCTCACCCCCTAGGTGAGGCAGGACGTCCACTCCTCGGACCCGGAAACTATCCCCTCGCACACACCGCCCTTCCCGCCGGCCGCCGCTGCTCTGGGCTGCACGTGGACAGAGGGTCTTGGTGACTTGCGACCCCCGCTGCCTCCCTCCGCCAACAGGCCCCGGAGCCCCCATTCCTCGGGCGACTTCCCTGCGGCAGTGGTTGGGACTCCTTGGATCGCGACCCGCGCGCTCCCCGTGGCTCCGGACGGTCCCACCGCCCCCTAGTCACCTCCCTCTCTCCCCACAAATGCGCCCCCTCTCCGCGCCTTCTCCCTAAAGCCATTTCCAGCTGGTCTTCCTTCCGAGGCCGGCTAGCCCACCCGCCCAGGTAAGTGAGGGCCTCTGAGGACCGGAGGGAGAAAGAGCGGCTCACACCGAGGTCGGCCCCAAGGACCCCTGCAGGTGCAGCCCACGCCCCTCGGTTCCCCCTCCCCTCCCTCTTTGCACAGCCTACCATCCTGCAGCCTCTGGCCCTGCGCGTGCCTCTTCGGCCACCGTAGGCGCCAGCTCCACTCCCGTTCTTATCCTTTTGCCTCCTTCCCTCCCTCTCTCTTGAAGCCCCGCCCCGTCCGCCGAGGTTCAGAGAACCAAGGCTTTGCGTACTGCGCAGGCGCCAACGCTGCGGAGCGCGCGGGCGGGGCTGGAGGTGGAGAAGCGGAAGCCATGGCAACCAGGTCCTTGACTTCAGCTTTGAGTAGCCCTGTCGTCATGGTAACAAGGCTGTCTTGTGGGCTGGTTGGAGGATGGGGGAGGAGGACAATGAGGTCCTCGCGCTTTGGAACCTTGGGGGAGAAAGGCGGGTAAAGGGGTGAGAGGTGGATAAGGTGACCGCTGGAGTTTGTGAGGAAGTAGGGTGGTTTAATGGAAGGGGCGTGGGCGATTGAGAGGGAGCAGGGTGGGAATTGTCTGTAGGGAAGGAGGAATGACGAGGAAGGCAAAGACAAAGGGTGGTGGTGGGGCAGGCATGAGAGAAGTATGGAGCTCAGAATAGACATCTACTGGGAACCTGCTAGATGCAGCAACAGTCAAAGTAAGAGAAAGGTGTAGGTAATGAGGCAGACGAGAAATAAAAAGAGAAAAGGAGGGGCTGATAGAAAAGTGATGTTAGGAAGAGGGGGAGAAGCATGATTAAGGCGAAAGAGAAAGAAGTAAAGAGAATCTTAAAAAGTTGGCATGGGTTAAAGCTAAAAAGGGACAGTCGTAACCCAGACACAAGTGTAAAGATGAGAAGGATGTAAATTGTAATACAAGCTTTTTGACTGAGGATGTGCATGTGTGAGTGTGTATATTTGTGTGTGTGTGTCCACGTAGTAAAGGAGTTTGCATATAAATGGATAAGAGGAAAATCTTAAATTTTGTCATGCCGAAAACTTAATGGCACATTTCTAGATAATTGTTGGTAACTAATGATGCTATTGTTTTTGAGTAGCACTTGAAGCAAAAGTTGGTAAGGCTCTACCTGTCTCCACTTTGCATTCTTTTCTTCTTACTCTTTGTTATGGAGGTCATATGCTTTAGTTGCAAGGGGGTGGGCCTAATCACCTGGGATGCAATCTGGTCTCTGCTCTCTACTTGATGTATAGTCTCAGGTGGGTCCTTTAACCCTCCGTTTACTCATTTAAAAAATGAAGATACCTACCTTGCAAGTCCGATTTGAGGCTGTATAGAAAGTATCTGACACACTGTAAACACTTGATATTGGTAGCGATTACTACTATTTGCCTTTCCCAACTTCTTTGGTCTACTACTTTTTCTTCTTCCTTTTTTTTTTTTTTGGTGTACGCGGACCTCTCACTCATGTGGCCTCTCCTGTTGCAGAGCACAGGCTCTGGACGCGCAGGCTCAGCGGCCATGGCTCATGGGCCTAGCCACTCCGCGGCATGTGGGATCCTCCCGGACCGGGGCACGAACCCGTGTCCCCTGCATCGGCAGGCGGACTCTCGACCACTGTGCCACCAGGGAAGCCCTTCCTCCTTTCTTTTTCATCTCCCTTTTTCCTCTGCCTATATCATAGGCTTGCCAATGGCATAGACATTGGCTGAACTATCTTGGTGTTATTTTTTAGGTCAAGAATCATATCAATAAAGCAAGTTGTCATCATGGAGTGAAAAGGAGTGGGAGTGTGTGAGAAGGGCAGAAGGCAAAATAATAAAATGTGCTCATAGGGGAGAGGAGAAGGTTGTATATAAAGAAGTGATGAGCAGTGAGGTAAAGATGTAAAGCAGAGGGCTTCCCTGGTGGTGCAGTGGTTGAGAGTTCGCCTGCCGATGCAGGGGACACGGGTTCATGCCCCGGTCCAGGAAGATCCCACATGCCGCGGAGCGGCTGGACCCGTGAGCCATAGCCGCTGAGCCTGCACGCCCGGAGCCTGTGCTCCGCAACAGGAGAGGCCACAGCAGTGAGAGGCCTGCGTACCGCAAAAAAAAAAAAAAAAAGATGTAAAGCAGAGATCTGGGCAACAGCCTGAGGAAGTGTAGAAGATCTAGAGATGTAAATTCCTACACTCCTTGGAAAGATGACACTTTCTAGAATTCCTTGTCTCAACATGCCATGCCTAGCTGCAGGGAAGATAAGATCCATGAGAGAATGGTGAGAAATAGGGGTTTTGCTCACGTAGAATCATAGACTCAAGTGGTTTGAACTAACTAGAAGATGATGGACCTCATTTATCTCTTCGTGGTTAGTGAATGATACACGTAGAGAATCTGTGAGTCAGGGGGTCCAATGAGCTTGTGTCTGCAGATGAGTTCGGATTTGATGCAGTGGGCGGCTGGGAGTCATTATAGTTGTCTGAGCTGCTTGGTGAAAACAGCTTTGAAAAAGTTAATCTTATAGTAATATGGGGGATGATTTGAAAGGACAGATGGAAGGCTGGAAGATCATCTAGGAAGCAGTTTTGGGAATCTAGGCACAAAAATGAAATGGAGAGGGACAAATTGGAGAGATACCTGTAATGGGCCAGTCACCTGAATTTAGAACTCATCTAAGTAGAGAAGGAAGAAGAATCAAAGATGAGTCTGGAGAATTAGTGGTGCCATTTGTATAAATGGAAAAATAGAAGAGGTGAGATTCTCCCTCATTAGTATGGATGGTGTTTTTATTGTTATCTTGCGAAGCCCATGCTGACACCTCCCCAAGCCTTCCCTCTTCCCTCATCTGGTTGGAGTGGTGGTTCCTGCGGTGGGTGGAAGGGTGATCCACGTGGCCTCAAAGCCTTTCATTTCTGAGTCTATGATCTGTGTTTCTCTCTCTTGTGATGATGCTCCCTGCCACCTTTTTAAAAAATTTATTATTCACTTATTTATTTTTGGCTGCATTGGGTCTTCGTTGCTGCGCGCGGGCCCTCTCTAGCGCAGCGAGCCGGCGCTACCCCTCGCGGCGGTGGGCGGGCTTCTCATTTGGTGGCCTGTCCCGTTGTCAGACACGGGCTCCAGCAGCCGCAGCACGCAGGCTCAGTAGTTGTGGCTCGCGGGCTCCAGAGTGCAGGCTCAGCAGCTGTGGCGCACGGGCCCAGCTGCTCCGCAGCATGTGGGATCCGCCCGGACCAGTGCTTGAACCCGTGTCCCCTGCATCGGCAGGCGGATTCCCAACCACTGCGCCACCGGGGAAGCCCCCGGGAAGCCCCCGCCACCATTTTTGGTGTATTCTTTAAGTACTCATTGTTCCCTGATGATGTCATTTGCACTCATCTCTGGGTTTTTTTTTTTAACTTCTTGTTTTTAACTAAGCAGTTGGGACCTTATCATACGCTATTCCTAAGGGTCCTGAATACTTTCTGTGGTAGATGTTTGCCATTTTTTTCACTTCCCTGGCTCTAAACCCCCTTCCTAGGGTTTCAGAATCCCCACCTTACGAGTCTAGGGGGAGATAGAGCAACCTCCCAGTGTAGCATTTGAATTTCCCAGATATTCCCTTTGGCAGCCCTCTTTGTGCCCACAGCATGGGCATGTCTGCTGGACTCGACCAATCTTTACTCTCACCTGGACTTTGGTCCAGGAAGGAATGAGGGGGGATGGGGTGATAAGGATAGGTAAGACTCTGGCAGAGGGTCAGAGGACAAAACCTAGGGCGCAGGTGGAGTGGCGCCAATGGCAGTGTCCCGTACCAGTAAGAGGTAGGGTGGGGGTACCTGGTGATTTGTAATTTGGGGCTCTGTCTCTAATGTGAGACCTCCTGCTGGTTCTCTGGCCCTCCTGGCAATTCCCTGAGCTCCCCAGTTTCCTTTTCTGCTTCATTTAGCCAGAGTTGGTTTCAGTTCCTGGTAAAAAGGACTCTGACTGGTAAACTAGGTAATCATGCCACACTGTCTGTTGATGAAACATGTGAGTTGTAAGCTCCTCTTGGGACAGTGTCTTACTCATGTTTTATTTCTTTACAGCACCTAGCACAGTGCCTGTTGATTGGCTTCAATTATGATTGGTATACATGGTTACCTAATCGAGATATTTAAATCTTACATCTCACCCCAAATATGCTAAATTCTAATTTTCTATATATTAGTACATATTTAATATCTATTATTCCTGCTAGAGGATAGACTGCCTTCTTTTGCTGTTTCTCCTGTGCCTAGCACAGTGCCCAGCACACAGCAGGTACCCAAGAGTTGTTGAAGAAAGGTACACTGGATCCTCCACTGGAAAATTTCATTGTCATCTCAACCTTCACTTGCCCCAAATGAGTAACTTCCTTCCGCCTTCCCCTGAAACCATCCCATTTCTTGGTTTCCCATTGTGGTCAACATCGCCGCCTTTTCCTAAGTTTGCAGACTATCAGCCTGGGACATGAAGGATCACAAAAAGCATGGCTTATTCAAGGGACATAGATCAGACCTGCCTGATAGACTAGGAGAGCGTATGGAAAAAGGGGAGACGGGCTGGGTTATCAGAGGAGGGAGGCAGCAGTCTGAAAACCAACTTGATGACTTGCGACTTCATTCTCAGGCACGTCCCTGGAACCTGCCTTGCTATTATTTTTCCTTTGTGATTTTGTTCATATTGTTTTCTGGAATGCCCTGCCATTCCCTCCCCACAGACCCAAATCCACCTTATTCATCCTTTAAGATGGAACAAAGCAGCCGGTCCTGATGACCCTTTACACTCCAGTGATCATTTCTAGAATGTTTCTTTCAACCATTTTTGCAGTGATTCCCGTAACATTTCAGCATTTTGGTGAGTATTCTCCGTAGATGCTGGCAGACCTCATTTAACTGCGGTCTGCTTTACTGTGCTTCTCAGATACTGAGTATTTTACAAATTGAAGGTTTGTACTGTAGCAACCCTGCACTGAGCAAGTCTACTGGCGCCATTTTTCCAACAGCATTTGTTCACTTCATGCCTCTGTGTCACATTTGGTAATGCTTGCAATATTTCAAACTTTTTCATTATTATTATCTTTGTTATGGTGACCTGTGATCAGTGATCTTTGTTACCACTGTGGTAACTGCAGATGTGGTAGAAATGGCAAGAGAACTAGAATTAGAAGTGGAGCCTGAAGATGTGACTGAACTGCTGCAATCTCACAATAAAACTTTCATGGTGAGGAGTTGTTTCTTCTGGATGAGCAAAGAAAGTGGTTTCTTGAGA